CTGCCACCCCATTCTGCTGCCTCTTTATCAGAGGCAGCAGCACTGGGCAACCAGGCAGCCAGTCCAGAAGGGGAGCTGGTTTTAAACTGGCTCCCCTCTTGGACCAGCTCCTGACTGGCACCCTGCACTACTGTGCCGGCCCCACCTCCGGGGACTATAGAATAGTCGACTAACCAATAAAAATTAATGAGGTTACTCAACTATTAAATTAACCGATATTTAACATCCCTAGTTGATATCAGAGCATGCACCTCCCCGCATTCCTGTACCCCAGCTCTACAAAGTGGAAGGGGCACAATAGGGCCTGGATCGGAGGGAGCTTGCTGGCCACTTTTAGAAGTGGAGCAGGGCCATGGTGAGCCTGCCTTAACACTGTTGCACCACCACCCAGGAGCAGCCTGCATCCCAACCTTCTGTTCCAGTTCTGAATCTCCTCCACCCCAGCCCTCTGCCCCACCTTAACCCACCCTTAATCCCAACTCCCTCTGAAAGCCTGCACCCTTCATTAGGGATGTAAAATCCCAAATAATCAGTTCACCGGTTACATGTTCACATTTCTCCCCTGAACCCCCTCCGACACCCCAACTCCCTGTCCCAAGCTCAGCCCTGAGCCCCTCCCACTTCTCAGCCCAAGACCAGAGTCTGCACACTGGTGAAAGTGAGTGAGAACAGGGTGGGTGGCAGGATGGAGTGAGCAAGGGTGGGGTCTTAGAAAAAGTGCAGGAAGGAGGAGAGGGTGTTTGGATTTGAGGTAGATTCTAGATTGCACCAATTCAAAAAGTGATCTTGTGCTTAATAGAGGTAGAAACCATTGGCTTAAAGCAGGTGAGTAAGACTCATGCTCCCTAAAATAGGAAAAGAGCAAGTTAAAAAGTACTCAGACAAATTAGATGTCTTGAAGACACGAGGGCCTGATTAAATTCATCTTAGAATACTCAAGGAGCAAACTGAGGAGATACGTGAGCCAATTATCTTTGAAAAGTCATGGAAGATGGGAGAGATTCCAGAGGCTTAGAAAAGGGCAAATATTATAGTGCCCATTAAAAAAACAGGAAATAAGGGCAACCCAGGGAATTACAGACCTGTCACCTTAACTTCTGTGCCCAGAAATATAATGGAGCAAATAATTAAGGAATCCATTTGCAAACATCTAGTAGAAAACAAGGTGATAAGTGACAGTCAGCATGGATTTGTCCAAAAGAAATCATGTCAAACCACCCTGTTGGCTTTCTCTGACAGGGTAATAAGCCTTGTGGATAAGGCAGAAGCAGCACATGACCTTCCCATAAACCAACTAGGGAAATGCAGCCTAGATGAAGCTACTATAACGGGGTCAGCAACCTTTCCGAAGCGGCATGCCAAGATTTCACCCTGCTGCCCTGGGCCGTGCCGCTCTCACTGTTAATTACATAATTAAGCCTGAGATATTTTGCTAGTGCTGCAGCTGGGGAGAATGGTTTAATTTAAATTATTAAACAGTTTAAGCGTTTTAACTTTCTTACATTAGTTGATCAAACTTCATTTTAAATAAAGTAAAATATTAATTTATGATCAACAGAAAAGGTTTCAATGTTTTCTTTATTTATGGCAGGGGTGGGGAACTTCTTCTGGGTTGGGGGTCACTGATCCACAGAGAAATCAGTTGGGGACCACACAAGTAAGAAGCAAAAAAACTCCTCCAAAACCCGTCAATCCTCACTGATGTGGCCCCCAACTGAGATACCTCACTCCTCTGGCACTTCAGCCCCCATGGGGTGAGGGAAAGGACAGGGAGGACTGAGGTTCAGGGCTTCCCATAGGTCAGATTTACTTTTCTGTGGTTCCAGAGTTAGTAGATTTTGTGGACCCCCTTAGGCTTTGGGAAAAATGAGGGATTCAAAATGCGGGACAGGGCTGCCAGTGAGAGAAACAGGAATGCAGGACAGGGTTAGGAGGACAGGGTCTGGAAGGGAGTTTGGCGGCCGGAGAGGATGTGGATTGGGGGTACAAGAGGGAGTTTGGGGGCAGGAAGGGGTTGGGGGAATAACGCGGAAAAGGTGAAAGGGTGAGAATGCAGCCAAATAGCTAGCTGAGGAGGGAGGCAGAGAAGTGGGGAATAAAGGAAAATGCAGCTACGGTACTTTTGCCTTACGACCCACAAAGCATCTACCACCACACAGCCCCTGCTTTCAACCTCACGCTTTGCTGGGAGGTCAGGCAGTATAAACAGGCCTTTCTTTAAATCTGATTGACCAGAATCTAAAAATACACAAGGCCTAGTGATGGGGGAACTGCAGGCTGATCACAGTGATGGAAAACCTAAGAATGGCCAAGACGACACCCTTGATTAACTCAGAAATGCCCAGTGGTAAGGAAATGGAGCTCAAGGCATTGCTCAGAGGACACAGGGTTTTGTCCTAACAGAGATGCACAGAAAGTATTTGGGACAGAAACAGTAGTGGCTGAAAGTGAAACTAACAAAAATTCTATCCCTCAAAATGTCACCAATGAGGATCCCTGTTGGCTGCGAAAATAAACCTCCTGACTGCAGGTAACCCCCTAGAGCTAGGCAGTGGGGGAAGGTTGGCACTCTCCCATTCCTGGAGACAGAGGGCCAGAGCTGCTAACACCCCCCACCACAGCCTGAGGACATCCTTGTTAGCAGCTGACCAGGATGTGGACTTCGCAGCCTCACACAAGTACACTTTCAGCAGCCAGGAATCAGAACAGGGCTGTGACCCAGGACAGTCCCTGACTGTGAAATCCAGAAATGTCAGTGCTTCCATGACTCCAGTGCAGTGTGAAAGCATCACCCTCACACAACCTCTGGGTGCCAGAGCCACTCAGCAACCCAGCAAGGCTCCTCTGCCCAGGAGATACTCTTACCTGGGAGAATCAGGGAAGTACTGACATTGACGGGCCCTGCCAGAGGGGCTCCTCCACTGCAGCCATGGATCCTGGGATGAAGCAAACACCCCCAAGCCATTTCCCCCCACCGCTGTAGCCCCTTGAATGTCTCACCTTCCGCCTCCTCGGCCATCTCCTCTTCATTTCCACTCGTCCCAGATACCTCCATCTCCTCATCCTCTGCTGCAGGAGGGAAAGCAGCTTCTTCATTTTGAATGGTTGGGGCTTTCTTCTTCTTCCGCCTTGCGTTCCTTTCTTTCTCCTGCGGGAGAAGCACTCAAGGGTCAGAGACTAATCCCTTAAAAGTAACCAACGACAGCATTTGGCCTGCCGTGCCAGTGCTTTTCCTGTATTCCTCCACTGGAAGAAGGTAACAGTTACATACAACACTGAGCAAAATTCAGGGCATGATTCTTTTCATCCCTGATCACTCCTGCACCTTATTAGTGACCACATTGCAAACGGGCAGACTTCATACAATGACAGAATGAACAGCTTTAATCCCCAACCAAGGGTTGTCTGTGAAACAAATCTTGAGAGTTGGGGGAGGCAAGTCTGAGAGGGGGGAAATTGCATCTATATGTATTTTAGATTCTGCCACCCTCCCTTTGAGTGGCACCTCACTTGCGGGGGATCCTTACAGAGGTCAATATGCATCTCACCTGCTCTGCTGTTGGCACACACGTGCAGAGGACCCTAACCCTAAGTTTCCCAAAGACATTTTACCAATTCAGCAGCATGCCACCCATAGGGGGCTATTGGGAGAGGGAGAGGCTAACAGAATCATTCACCATGGCACAATTAGGGATGTTAGAGAATAACTGTTTATAAGCTGATGCTTATCAGTTAATGGTCTCAGTTACACTCAGACAGTTCCTGGGGAGGCGGCTTCACTGTGGCAGGACAGTGAAGCCACCTTCTCCAGAAGCCAGGCTGGCAAGTGCTGCCCGCTCCATTTCCAGGGACCCTTCACTATGGCAGAGCCCGCACAGCGGGTAGCTATATAACTGCTGGGATTTTCAGCGGTTACATGGTTACCCTAATACTCAATTTTTAACATCCCTAGGCACAATACACCGATGTCAGATTAGGAAAGAGAAAGCCAGCCTCTATTTTAATGGCACAATTTTGTGTCCATAAACCCTAACAGTGCAGAGTTTAAGACATGATCAAGCATTCAGACACCTAATTAATTCAAACTGAGGCCATCTTTAAAACTAAACTAGGCCTCTACTACATATCGCCATAGTATGAAGCCAATTTAGAGATGACTAAAATGGCACCACAGATTAATTTTCAACCCACCTTGTGCTCCTCTCTGTTTTTGGATGCCCAACTTGAGGCACCTTGAGGGGACCTGATGCCCACACATGCTTGGCACCCTCTTGAAATGAAGCTAGTGGCTGCCCTGAATACTCAGTGCAATGGACAAGGCCGGTGCCAGATGTTTGGAGCTGAACATCCAATTTTTATAAATATTTTGAAAAACTGTGCCCTGGGTGATGCTCCCAAGGAGATGCAGTGAGCGAGCAGTAAAGCAGGAGACAGAATCAAGGAGCTGAAATTCCTCATCTTCTTCTCGAATCACAAAGCAATACCCTCTCCTCTTTAAACATGTGTAACAGGCCCATGCTACTGCTTCCCATGCACTGTTTGGCCTGGCTCAAGAGTCTTGTCTCTACTTATGTTTCCCGGTGTCATTGCTGAAATATAAATATAACTGGCAGGAACATGCCCTCCCCTGCTGGTCCCTCCACTCGCCTCACATGAGTGATGCTCTGAATAGAGTGAATTGAAATGGATGGAAACTGACGGCTGCAGCAGTAATGCAAACTCTACCATGGTTCTCTAGGTCGGCAGAGTCTGACAGAAAGGGGGGAAAGTATCTACTCAAAAACCTCTAGATAAAAACCCCACCCCACAACCTGGCAACACTGTCAGTTCTCACCTGTTTGTGTGACACTGGCCAGGAGAGGGTGGGAGCACTTAAAAAAAATTATGTGATAGCAGAGACATTACAAACACACCTGGCCACTCTCACCCCTACCATCAAATTCTGCTGTAATCCTGTTCTTTCGGCGATCTCTGCTCCCTTGGGAAGAACACTGTCAGCACTTCATCTTGTGCCAAAGGAACAATTCAATAATTGTATGTTACTGTCTAAGCATCAACTCATAGTTAGGGCTTCAGAGAATGCTAATGTGATGACAAAGCTCTTGGGTTACTATGGCAAAGCCTTCTTCGCCTTACTGCCTCTTACTCATGGATCTGTGACTCAGCTGAGCTAACGAGTGGGATCTGATGCTGGGAAATTAGCTGGGAACAAGCCCCTGCATCAACACCAAACTTGGCTTTTGTGTTTGCATTAACAGACAAGCAGCAGGATTTGGCCCATGCAGAGATGAAAGCTCTGGCAGGCCAGCCTGTGGGGCTGTGAGAGGCCCGCTGCACAGCAAGGTAACAAGGGTGAGATATTTAATAGAAGCAATTTGCATCTAGAAAGCAGATCTGGGGGAGGACATCCTTAGAGACAGGCCCATGCACAAATGTTCTGCTCTAAGGTTTTGGTTCCAGTCAGACTCATTTACCCAAATTCATCCCTGTGCTAACTCCTGTCACCTCGCCACTCCATCAACCCCAGCCTATCTGCTATCACCATATACTTCAAGTTCTTTGGGGACAGGAGTGGCCTATCTTTAATGCAATGGGAGATCCCCTCACCATTACAAATGTATAATCCACCTTGAGTTCACTTCACATGGCAGCAGATGCGGGGAGAAGAAACACTTCCATCAAATTTAGCATTAAAGGCAAAACTTGGTTTCCCAAAGAACCACACAATACATCTCTAAGTCCCAGGGGCCCTTGATACAAATCACAAATAAATGAGATGATGGTAAGGTGAAGCTCACATTTGCCACAGGAATTAATTGCTTTTACATGGTTTTCCATGCTTTCTTGGGTCTGTAACAGAGTGGTTCTGGTCCTTGGGACTTAGTTTTAGACCTGCTATCAGTACTTCAGTGACTTTCACGTACAACCCATTCCTTGGTGCTAAACGTACAATCTGTCCTATTAAAAGTGACTTACTAGATTTGCCCCTGGAGCGTTTTTACCCCTGTAACCTATGGGATAGCTTGAGCAGGGCTGTGCCGCAGCCTTTGGCTTAGACACATCTATGTCAAAAGGGAAATAAAGCAAACCAAATGAAACCCCGAACCTTTCTCATGGCAGGTTACTTGTGAGCATGCTGGAAAACCTAGTGTGCTGTTCCACTTCCCATAGCAAGAATGGCCTCCCAGGTGCCCTGAATGATGCTGAGGCTGATTTCCAGCTAGCTCTATTAGATTGTCTCCAAGTCTGGTGGGAATCCGCAGCTCTTCTCAACCTCCTCTCCAAGCTGTCTGGTGTTACCAGAGCATTCTCCCCCACTTCCCCAGCTGAACAATCCTGACTGCCCAGGATATAGCTGAAAAACAGGGAGAAAAAACCCAACCTGCTGCTCTGACATCATCTTTCTGGCCATCTGCCCCAGAAGGGAAATACCTGGGCACATTTGGATCTCTCTTCACGCCTGACACAGAGTGACCAGCCAAAGAGGCTTTAAACAACCCTGCTCCTGATACAGAGCAGTCATCATATTTACATAGCCTCAGCTGCTGTCTCAGCCTTCCCTAAACGCATGATGCTGGCATTTCTGCATTAGTGCATGGTCATGCATATTCCAGCAGGGGGATCACAAGCGGAGCTAAGACAGCTGGCTCCCCAGGACTGGGGCCAGGAGTAGGCACATAACCATAATGGAAACTGATAAGCTTGTGCTTACACACTTACGTCCCTACTGAAAGGGAGACAGCACTGCCTGAACTCCCCTTTGACAAGTCAGTCTCTCAACAGCTCTCCAGGTGAGGTTCATTTTCTATAACCCAAGGACGGGTACAAGCGGAGCTAAGACAGCTGGCTCCCCAGGACTGGGGCCAGGAGTAGGCACATAACCATAATGGAAACTGATAAGCTTGTGCTTACACACTTACGTCCCTACTGAAAGGGAGACAGCACTGCCTGAACTCCCCTTTGACAAGTCAGTCTCTCAACAGCTCTCCAGGTGAGGTTCATTTTCTATAACCCAAGGACGGGTGTTAAAATTAAAACCCCATGAGTGGAGGAGCTGTGGAAGCCCTTGGGCCACCCACACCACAGAGAACCAGGAAGGAGCCACCACGGTGCTAGACCTGCTTTCTGACTGCAGCTTGAATGGCTTGCCCTGAAGGGGCAGAACAGGCTCCGCGATTCCTTTCCTGGGTATGTTTACTCTGTGTCTGGCAGCCAGCCTGCCAGGCCGGGGCTTGCCCTAGCATTGTGGTTTGGGCTCTCAAAGGGTTTTTTATTTTTAACATGCCCCACTAATGAGCCTCCCTCCCAGATGCAGTGCAGTCATACACTATAGGGGCAAGACTCCATGCTGCACCCTTGTAATCTGTGAGCCCTGGCAAATCTGGGGTGCGACAAAGTATGGCAGGCCCGACCGATCTGAGAGCCACACCTGAAAATCACCAGCTGCAGGCCAGTGTGGTATGCTACCGCTGTGCTAGCCACCACAGAATGTGAACACTGGGCTCTGTACAAACCACTGTTGCAGTTCTGGTTTGCGTGGGCTCATGTTCCTTGGGATGTACTTTAGGTTCTATATTTGAGTGAACTTTTAGAAGTAAGCTGAAGATCACTCAAAGCTCCCAAGTTTCATTTGGATGAAACCATGAGGAACAGTGGATTTAATCTGGCTGTAATTCAAAACTATGCACTGGTCCAGGCTAGACTGTACACTGACTCAGGTTTGCCCCAAACTATTCTCGGGCTCACTTGAAGGTTTCTAGAGACCTTAGCATTCCTGGTCTGAGACCTGAGTTTGTAAAAAAATCGTTGTCATACCAGTAGAGCAACCCATCCTAGCAACAAGGCTACAAACCATAAACAAGCTACATGTGAGACATTAACAAGCGCTACCAACTGAGGATATCCTCATTAAATTAAATAAACAGCATTCTAATAAAACTGGGAATGCAGAGCCCATGTATTTCCTTGTAAATTATCTGCAGGGAGATCAGCAATAGCTGCTGACACCGAGGCCGGGGCAATAAGCAAAAGATCACTGCAGTATTACCTGATGACATATTGGCCTGGCTGCTGATTGCTTCCCTTGAGAGGAGGTCAAAGCTGACTACTTTGCATGCCCAGATGCTGTACAGGAAGCGATTAGGAGGTTTGCTTTACTTGCGAATATATTTAGGAGTTAGAAGGAAAGCCTGTGGACTCACTCTCTTTTATTTTATTCAGTTTTACAGCATCTGCTATTGCCATAAAACAATATAGCTCAATAAATAACAGCTGAGCATTCATTGTGCTTATACAAAACCCAAATTCCACATCCCCTGACGCTTAAAAGAGTAAATGACAATGATGTTCTAATCTGCATGCAATAGTGAACAATATGTATGGGGGAGCAAAGGATGAGGGAAAAACTGGGTCTGCAGAAAAGTCCCCCTGCAGTACAATTTCTGAAATACTGGGAAGCGAAGTAAATTGATATACCCAACTCTGATTAGGTTACCAATTCTATTTCCTTTAGATTCACCCAAGTAATGAATACAATATCTTTATAACATGAAGCTCTATTTTGAGAGGTTGTGCGTGTGACTCATCCCATTCTTTACACACGTTTTAGTTGTTTTCTTTGTACAACTTTGTTTGCCTTGTCTCTAAAACAAGCTTTGTTTGCCTTGTCTCTAAAACAATTCAGTGAAACACAGGAACACAGGAGTATCTCCGAGCATGGAGAAATGATCATAAGAATCACCGCTGCTCACAATACTTTTTGTTCCTTTTGTCAAGTGATGAGGCTATTCAGTTCCTGGATGTGTCACTGAGTGTTTGCCTGTCTTTTTACTCACACCGTAATGGCTTGAGGGAGCGATTCCTGTACGGAATACTGTCCCTTCCATTTGCAAAGCTCTCGTTGGGGTTGAAGCCATATGAAACCTATTAGCCAGAAACCCTGGAACCCCAGGGTCCTCTACAAACGAATAATTACAATATTTTGCAGATTCCCTAAACTTTCTGAGGGAAGAAAGTATTATTATCCCCCTTCTACCACAGGGGAAAACATGCACAGAAAGATTAAGTGATCTGCCCCTAGCCATACAAAATGTCTGTCAGGCATAGGACTTCTGTCCTTAGGTCACTGGACCATGCCTGTCTCTGGAGGTCCCAATGATTGTTCCTCCTGGAAATCAACTTCTTCCCTTCTAATATCATAAACACTGGGTTGAAAATGTCATGAGGCTTTTTGTGGCCAGTCTGCATTCATACCTTTATACTCAGTGCATGAGCTACCACAGAACATGCAGCAGTTTCAGACTGCTCCAGAAATAAACAGCATGACTAGGCCCATTTCTGATCTCTGTAACATGGGGTAAATTGATACAACACTCCTGGCTTGAATGGATTTGCACAACTGTAACTGGGATCACCATCTGGCTATGTATCTTAACACACAGCAGCTACTCTCTCCTTTCTATTCTTTTCACTCACTGAGTAGCATGTGCATGTCTAAGATCTGGTCAACTCTGTCCCAGAGGAGCTCCCAAGCTAGCCAGAAAACACCACTGGCCAAAGGATAAATGTCCCTTTCTCAATATGAGCTGTTAGCTGACCCCTGGGCTCCATGTATTTCACCCAGTAAATTCTCATGGAAGACAAACTTCCCTTTGGACTTGGGAACGTCATAAGCTATGTCACTGTTTGCCAGAAAAGAGCTGTGGTGATTGCAGCAGGCTGCAGCGGGCTGCTTACCATTTTTAGTTTGTGCTGCTGCAGGATCTCATCCAGGTTCTGTCTTTTCTTGTAGTTGAAATAGAAGTTTTTGCACTGCGACACAGTCTTGGAGCCCACCATCCTGGCAATGGCCGACCAGTTTCGCCCATGTTCAAGGAGACCTGTAATTGGGGAAATAAAACCAGAGGGTTTAAAAGGAGAAACAATGCACAAAGGCTGGGTTACATGGGCAAACCAAACTTTGCTGGGGACAATATGTTCCCCAGTACCCGTCTGTGAAAATTCCCTGGCCAAGAGACAAGTGAGAGATTCCTGGTTTTCTTTCCAGGTACAAAACATTAGACCATCAATCTTGGGGAACAAAAAGCATGGGATAGCAGCATCTACTAACCACCCTGACAGCTGTTAGGGCTCGGGGCTAGACTGCACCATCATGGTGTGTTGGGGGCCAGTGCAGTCATTGCACCCCACAAGGGAGTGACAAGAAGCTTTCAGAAGGTGAAAGCATGCACCTCTTCCCTGGGGGCTGCAGTTCAGGTTGGTCCCTATCCAGGGGGCTAACGAAGATGGGGACAGGATGTCTGCACCCTCCCCCAACCTGCATTATCTGAGAGAGACAGTTTTTGAGAACTGGAGCCCACAGGCTCAGATGGGTTGGACCCATGCATGGAGAAGGCCACAGGAGAAGAGGGGCGACAAAGGAGGCGAGATGGAAGTACAGTCATGTATTCACACAGGTGTGTGTGTGTATGTGCATGTGTGTAAGGAGCTAATAATCAGCCTAGGTATTTCCATGGCCCCTACTACTCTGGGGTCTAAGCCTCTTGCAATCATTAAGGCATTTGCCCTCCCAACACTCCTGTGAGAGGGAGAGGTGCCATTACCCTGCAATTACAGAGGGGGAAACTGAGGCACAAAGCAACTAAGTGACCTACCTAGAGTCCCAAAAGACATCCCTGGGGGGAGCAGGGAACTGAGCCTCAGTCACCAGCTATTACCCTACCCACAGAGCTCTGCTTCAGACTCCCATTATACGGGTCCAGTCAATCCACTACAGAGGGATTTCCTCACATGAAAGCCTGCCAGCCCCAGGCACAGCAGAGATATGTTCTAGCGCTGCCACACTGCCACTGGAACCCAGAGGCCAGTGCGACCCAGGAGGGTGAAACCTGGAGAGTGAAAGATCTTGAAACCTGGGGCCCCTTTCAAAGACTGAGCTAGGGGTCTAGCACTGGGAAGAGGTAGGGAGAGGTGACAGACAGACAAAGAGAAATTACAAGCCTCTCCTTGGAATGTAGAGGCCAGCTGACCTGTAAGTGCATTGTGGTGGGGGAAGGGAGGGAATCCCCACCAGCTTGAGGTGGAGGGGTGCTACAGAGGTCGCTGACTTAATGAACACCCTGCAGCCCTGAATAGCCCATCACAGCCCCTGGTCCGCCCCTTGCTGGGATTGTCAGGGCAGCAGAAGTCCACTGTACCTGAACCAGGATGCTACCCTCTTATAAATCTGTGTCCTTCTACCATGCTGGGTTGCCTGTCTGGGAATTTGTTGCACTGGCAGCTCTGTATCAGAGACAGCCCCTTTTGCGTGTAAACAAAACCTGTCTGACCCTTCCTCTGACCCCTGAGGTGTCCACGAGACCCCACTGCATGCCTATTGACTCCCCTTGCCAGGCTGGCCTGCTAGGTATCTGCCATCAGTTGGCCCACAGGCCCAAGAGGAGAGGCAGGGAGCCCAGCTCCAGCTGGCTTCATGCCCCACGCTCAGGTGGAACTGCAATCAGCCAGCCCTTGCTTTAGTCATCGTTCCTTTGCTTTTTGTCTGCCACTCTTCATGCAAGGAGGGGCTGCAGCAAGTCCCGTGAGGAGCAGCAGTTTAAAGACACCCAAAGCTGACCTGGCTCAAGCTCTCCTGTCCTTTGTGCCTGCTGCTGACACAATGCGGGAGTTGCCCTGAAGCAAAGAGGGTCCCCAACACACGTCCTCCTGCAGCCCTGGAGGATCTTTCATGAGGTCCCCCCTCCCTGTACTGCACCAGCCTTAGCTTGAGAGCCTAGATGAGATCCAAGGCAGAGTCCTCGTTAATGGCACAGGGAGGACCTTCAGATTCAGACAATATTTTCCTTTAAACATGCTCTACCTATCAGCCAACCAACCACAGCATCATTTATGTGTCAGGCATACTCTGCGCTGTGATTGCAAAGGCTGACAAACAAAACTTGCTAAGGGATAAGCTTTAGCACCAGCATACACAGATCAACCAGCAGAGCCTCCTGGCTCCACAGACCTCTATCACCACGCTTCCAAAATGACCGAATGAATCGACCAATTCACTCTAGAAAGGCTTACTCCCATGGGTGAGCGACTGGGCTGGAATGGCAAGCTAGGTCTCAGGTAAGGGCTTTAAATACCAACAATGGCCCCTGACTGCCCCACAGGCGCCACTCTCTGTGCCACTGCGTTGTTCTCAGAGAAGACTATGCTGTGCATGACAGGGGAGCAGCATGTGGTTACTGCAGCGGCTGACCCCAAGGTCCGGCTGTGCCCACTCTCATTTCCACCTATGAACCGAGCGTGTTGTGCGGCATGTCATGGATCTCTCAGCTGCCCTCTCACGTGCCAGAGGCACTGGGCTCAGTAGTTTTGCTGGGCCACTTCCCAATCACAAGGCTGTGCTGAAGCCCCTCCAAGTTAAAGTCACCCACTCCAGTGGTTCCACAAGGCCTTCCCTTCACCTGCTGGGGTCAGCGTGCAGCCTGCCAGATTGCCACACATGCAAATGGCGCCCAGCTGGGGGCAGGTGTGTAGCCAGGGAGGGGAGAGGCGCAGGTGTCTGTGTGTATCCCGCCAGGAGGAGGCTGCATGTTTCCAAAGCACAGACAGACCTCCTCCCTGCAGGATCCAACCGGTGCATATAGACACCCTTATCTTCACAGGCAGGAGAACAAAACAGCAACACCTGCTTCCCAAAACTATAATTATCTGTACTCTCAGGGCGGGATCAGCCAGCAGCTGCCCTGGATCTGGCTAGTGAACAGACAACTTGCCAGGGCTCTACTGAGCAACATACGTCAGTGTTCCCTTTCACCTCACAGCCTCCCCCTCATGCTCTTCATGCTCCTGCACCCCCATCACTGTCACACGAAACTTGCCACATGCATGTTGGTCCCTCGCTCATACAACACACACACTCATTTTGTACATAAAACTGAAACTGACTAACCAGCCCAGCCGATCTTAATCAGTATCCTGCTGAGTGGCGATGGGGGATTGTAAGTGTACACACCAAGTGTACACACGCTCATTCTTGCAATCCCCAGCACTAACGTTCACCCCAGAAGCTCACCGTTTTCTTATTGCCTATGGCTCTACTTACATTCTCCGAGACTAGTGTCACCTGCCAGCAAATCTGCTCCGAGCATGCAGCAGAGCCGATCTTAATCAGTATCCTGCTGAGTGGCGATGGGGGATTGTAAGTGTACACACCAAGTGTACACACGCTCATTCTTGCAATCCCCAGCACTAACGTTCACCCCAGAAGCTCACCGTTTTCTTATTGCCTATGGCTCTACTTACATTCTCCGAGACTAGTGTCACCTGCCAGCAAATCTGCTCCGAGCATGCAGCAGGCAGGTCAGAATAAAAAGGGAGAGCACTTCTTCAAAGCCACGCGAGGCAGAGCAGTTTGTTACAAAGCGCCGGGAGTTCTCTGCTCACATCCTCCCTGCTCAATTTGTTTACACTCCCTCGCAAAAGCCAAAGGAAGGGAAGGGAGGAGAGAGGAAAAAAAGCTGGTTCTTTATTCCTGGGGGGCTCCGGCATTTAGGAACCCTCGGTAGCAAGAGCAGCTACAGCATGGTAACTTAAAACCAGGTCTTAAAAGCAGGAGACGCCTGACCCCGATGCAAGAAGTTGCCTTGAACACATGCTCCGTCCTCAGTGCTCTCTGCCTCACTTGGGCTGCTGAGAAGCACCCTGGGCACTCTTCCTGCTCAGCTCCTCAGCGCTTGCAAACCGTCTGGAGAGGCGTTTGTTAAGGTGGACTGAAGTTGCTTTGCCTCCCCCTTTCCCCGTCTCACCTCCTTGCTCAGCAGCCTGGGGCTACAGGGAGGCAGTTTCAGGAGATGCCCAACGCTGCCAAAAAAAAAAAGAAAAAAAAAAAGGCAAAGCAGTCGAGCAGGAGCTGCAGTTTCCCTCTTGCCAGCTGAGGGCCAGGAGGAGATCAGGACCGGCGGTGTGTGGTGGAGCAGCAAACAAGCTCTAATCTTTTCCTCTGGCTGACCCAGAGGCTGGTTTCGTCTGAATGTGACCTCTAGACAGAGCAATAATAACGAGCGTGGCACTGACCCAAGCTGACAAGGGGTGCGGCCAACTTGGCACCCACTTCCTCTCTCTCTCTCTCTCTCTCTCACTTTCGATCTCTCTAGTTCTCATCTGAATGTCAACAGCAGGGGGAGTGAGCCAGGAAAACAAAGCTTTGCTTAATAGTTTCCTCTGCTCTGAAATGAATCAAAGGGGCTTTTCTTTGGGGAGGTGCGAGCCAGTAATTGACAGAGATTTGAACTCTACTGACCGGGTTGGGACCTTCCCCCTAAGTCTCCCCTCCGCACTGGTTTTCAACTGAAGGTTGCTATCATCTGGAAAGGTCTGAGGGCTCCAGGAGAGGAGGCAGAGAGAAAAAAAACAGAGCACAGAGATAATGCTGGACCAACAAGTTGTTGGACAACTTCAGACCACTCCCAGGGCAGGAGAGACAGGGACAGACAGACACACCCTGAGCATGCGGGCTATGCAGTGAGCCCAGGCAGACGGGATCAGCCAGAGAGTGGGGGTGGGGACTGTCTCCTCCCCGGTCTGTGGAAACTTGAGGGTCGTGCACCCGGAGCAACGATGGCAGGAAGGAAGAGGAGTGTGCAGACCTATGAGAATGCTTTAAAGCGTCTTTGGTTTCTGGAGCACAAGACCAAGAGAAAAGGGGCATTGCAGGGAGCATGGCTTTCATTCAAGCTCTCCATAGTCACAGCCTTTTTAGATTATTTCTTCCCCTCCTCTCCAGCATGGCTGCCCTTGCCCCACCCAGGTCTCACGTCTCAGCACAACACAAGTGAGACCGCAAAAGGGTCCCTTAGCAGCCTCTCAACTGGATTAGCAGATCAAAGTT